GTAAATGTCTGGAAACATACTTTACACACGTGGGGTTTCATTTCCATATGGATCTTCTCATGTCTTCTAAGATTGGATTTGCACTTGAAACTTTTAAAACACACTTTGCAGCTATAGGCTTTCATACCCTTATGGATCCTCTCATGCACTGTAAGATGGGAGTTCTGTTTAAAACTTTTTAAACACACTTTACAGCTGTGGGGTTTCTCATTCGTGTGAATCCTCTCATGTACTACAAGATGATCATTTCTGGAAAACGTTTTCAAACACACTTTGCAGCTGTGGGGTTTTACATTCGTGTGGATTCTCTCATGTACTGGATCTTCTGATGCTGTGTGAGATTGGATTTTCTGATAAATGTTTTTAAGCACACTTTGCAGCGTAAGGAATCGTCAATTATTTGGCAAGGTTTGCATATCTTGTGACTGTCATTAGCTTCGCAAGTTTTACGGCATATGATGCAAGAGCGAGAACTACTACTCTCGGTCATGTTTGTGAACGATGCCATTTAATCGAATTGTGATGGCTTCGATATTGTTGCTGTTGATTTTTGGTGTGCATAGAAATATCTGTCCTGCAACATACAAATGAAGGCGTTTTGTTTTCTCCGTTGTTTTTCTGTTGAACAAAATTAAACATCGTAACTTGTTATTTGTGATGATTGTTACAGAATTACTAACTAATTGTATTAAAAATTTTCAAGTCTATGATCAATTTTTGATGAAGAAATGAAGTTTATTTGATCTTATGAATCTTAAAGAAATAATTTAGTTATATTGATAATAGTATTACAATTAAGTGCATACATTTTTATCAATTTATTACTTCTATCTAAAATTCGATAACCTTCCGTACGATTTATTATATACACTCATGCACCTACATGATGTAGTAAAGTTTCGTGGATCCATATAATAAGTTATTAAATAAAAAAAAGAATACATTTTCAAAGTCTTTGTAAGAAAATAATTTAGAAAAGGCTAGAGTGGATTGGAATGTAGAAAGACGGATTTGTATTATCCAGCAATGCAGGATTTATATCGACGTCCCTCTACTTGTGAAAGTGTGAGTAGACTTTGGCATAAAGAGCCGTAAAGCCGAAAATTTACTTCTACACTTTAAATTATTTAACACAAGTTTATCTCTGTATAGTACTTTTACTTACTTTGAATTTTGTTTTAAAACTGTTTATGCTCTTGATTTTTCGTCGAACAATACGTGTTACTTGGTGTCAGTATAAAATTCAACTAATTTAAAATGTACCCAACACTATACTGAGTGAAACAAACATGCGAAAACTATAAATGTCCAACTAGTGTATTTTATTGGAGAAATTTTGATACTATTTCAAAAAATTATTTGATACCAAACGAATAGTAAATCCTAGATGCGCAAACTTCAATATTTTTTACTGCTGTGAAAAGCTGGTATGCTCGCATTGGAAATTATATTTTTATCGACTTTTTTTTATACAGCTGTGATGATAATAACAGGTATTTCTTTTGTGCTTAATGACAGAGGTATTTTGAGAGTCATGATTTTAAGTGATGTTACTGACAAAACTTACTGATTTTTAAAAATCAATTACAATGCCATATCACCGAAACTGATAAATTTCTTAATTACCTTGTTTTTTTTAAGTTTCTCTAAGTTTTTAGAGGTGACGCGATGCATAAAGAATTTTTTTTTATGTACAGTTACTAAGACACGTGGGGCTTATCAGTCACTCGGTGCGTATACCGGTGGTGAGGCAGGATCTAGCGTTTTGTAGAAGTAATTCGAAATTCAGCTGTTGTAATAACTGTTTATAATTTAAATGTAACAGCTTCAACTGCGGGTAAATGCAACTTAGGGTATATCGATTTTTTATAATCTTGCCCAGCTTTGTGGTAACGACTTATCCTTTGGTGTGGTGGTTGGATTCGGACGCATATTAGACCGACACTCAAGTGAACTAACATTGGGTGGAACTTTTTGATGAGATGAATCGCACTTTTTTGCTTCGTCTCAAGGAATCCTGGTTGGTTGCACCCTTGCCGAATGTAGCCCCCCGATTTTTTTTCAAACTAGCTAGCGAACAGATCGCTACCTCGATTCGGTTAAAACGTTTTCAATTTCATGCAGATGTCCATAGTGCAGAGGGTCGAGCTGCGTACACTTTATTAATTTTTTTGATGATTTTATTCTTTTTAAGCTGAAATTGTATGGGAATTTGGTTATATTGATAATAGGTATATTTCATACTCCAAAAATGTATCTCGGCAAGACATTCAACTATTCTGAAAATTCAAAAAAAAAAAAAAGTACATAGAGTAAAGGATTGAAACGGTATTTCATGAATTCCTCCTAGCAGCATGTCTCATTATCCGTTGATTTTGTTAAATTTTAAACTTTCAATACCCGAATCAGTTAATCCTATTTGTCCTGTCGATATTTTTTATTCGAAAAATTTGTTTGACGGTTTGTCCAAAAGGACCAATGATACTACTGGTGCCTCAACTAAAACTGCAAAATAAACGAAAGAGCAAGAGTCCATATCCTCCTGAGAGACTACACTGCAGCACAGCGAAGGGGAAGAAAAAAAATAGTCAACACCGCGTAAACACAAAGTAGCCGTTTTCCCTTACGTATTATTCTACTCAAGAGCTTACGCAGTGCCACCAGCTCGATTTCTTCCGCGCACAAGCCGAGGATCGATACAAAATCCGCGAACCTCCCTCCGGTTTTCCTATAAATACTCGGCGCGCTCGGGAGCACTGCGGAACCCCGCGCCAACAAGAGAATCCATACTTATTATTTAGAGCTCGGGGTAGACGCTCCCTCGCGCTCCGGAAGTCAAGAGCAGCGGCAAAAGGATACGCAATATACCCAACTCCGCGATACCGCCACTGTTGCGATCCCCATCCCCTCTCCCCCTCTTCTTCTACTCTGTGCTCGCGTTGGTTTTCATTTTTCCACGCACACGCGTATATATAAACTCGCTTGGCCCCATTTTCACGCGAATCTCAATGCACCGGTCCACGCGTGCACGTGTATATGTATATATATACAAGTATAATATTTCGCGGGGATCGCGGACCGGAAACGGACGTCCGTGTCGTGAAAAATGGCCAGCCCCGCGCTTCCGACTCCCCCTAACATTTATACACACACAATGAGAGCGCAGATAATATAGATGCAGGCTGATGCTCGAGTCCAAAGTGTACATCTATATTTCACGTATACACCACGCGTATACACGTGCAAAGATAGCAATGGTATAATTATGGGCGCATTATGAGCCGCGTGTATACAAGAGGGCGCGCTTTGATTCCGCGAGAATTATAGCTCCCGATTATGCAAATCTTACATTGTCGGGGGATATTACACAGCTACTGGTGTATGCATAAATATACCTGCACATATATGTGTATCTGAGGCCGTGGGTGATTAGTTCTCGAAGCGAACACAATAATCGCTGGAGCCCGGGTCTTCGGATTTTTTTTGTTTTGTTTTGTTTTCCATGCTCGGCAAATCGAATGGTGAATAATCAATCGTTGCCGTTGTATATACGGAGAGGGCTGCAACAATGCTCATTGTTTGCTTGTTTTTCATTATTAGGTGAAAAATTACACGCGAACGCTGTACGTCGTCGGTGTTGTTGAGAGCCGCGGAACAATGGTGCGTTGCGTAAACCGAGTTATTGCGCGACGACGAAGAGGGATCTGATATTGTGTACATACGTACGTATACCTGCGTAGGGCTTTGTGCGAAATTAATTTGTGTACCTGCACGGGTTGAATATATATAACGTGCAATAATGAAGTACGTACAGCAGTTTTATCGGAGTATAACAATTAATTAACTTATATGTAATTCAATATCGATAAATGATGGGATAATTGGGATTGGGGGGGTGTAGAGGTGGTGGCTAATGATATACAATAACGTTATTCAATTTGAAACGGGTAATCGAGCCGTGTATTGTACCCTTTAATCAAGGCAAACGCTATTGTTCTCAAGAAACGCGCGTTGCGTTTCCGTAAACAACTCTAGGTATTTGTGGATATGCACACGAAAGTGACGCGATACCAACTGCACTCCATAGCCGCGAAATATCCCGAGATGAGTAAAATTCAATTTTTTTTTTTTTTTTTTTTTTTTTTTTTTTTTTTAACAATCTAACGGAGAAGCGGCAACATACTATAGTCATAAAAACATTGTAAAACTCGGAGTTCCCTAGCTCCACGTCGACTACGTATTTTATTGGAGAAATTTTGATACTATTTCAAAAAATTATTTGATACCAAACGAATAGTAAATCCTAGATGCGCAAACTTCAATATTTTTTACTGCTGTGAAAAGCTGGTATGCTCGCATTGGAAATTATATTTTTATCGACTTTTTTNCATAGTATAGTCATAAAAACATTGTAAAACTCGGAGTTCCCTAGCTCCACGTCGACTACGAGGATGAAGTCGCTGTTTCGCTGTAATCGCCGAGGAGAGAGAGAGAGAGGTCATCGTTAGGGCTGCACCGGTGTCGAAAACCCGTTTGAAGCGACATTTAAAATGCAGCGATAATGAGGGCAAGTTAAACAGTAGTCCTCCTCCTGGTTTTTAAAACAAACTTACCGACCCTTGGTGTTGCACGTGTATGGGTATAGAGATGGCACGGCAAAAATTCTCACGCATCTCATTAGACGCGACGGAAAGGGCGGACCAACTCGAGGGAGAAGGCAACGCGCGAATAATGCATGCATGGGTAGCCAATCGAGGACTCCAGCGTGGGGGATGGCGTTTCTGCGGGTAAACACGGAGATAATATTACTTTTTTTTTTTTGCTCCAAAAATTTTTTTGGATACGTGATCAAGAAAGGGACAATACGGAGACTCCCGTAACGTACGCTATAGCTTTCAGTGTGGTATAATACAAAATAGACCTCGAGAGTAAAGTGCTTCCTTTAAGTTGCGAGTCATGGAATCCAGTGTTTAACGTGAGACGTTTTCTTTCCGTTTCAGGAGCCAAAGTTTCTCCAATGATGCGCTGAGCCCCGACTCGCACGAGAGGATGGATCCGAGCTGTCTGCTCCCGCTGATCCTACTGATCGGTAAGTTTTGCTTTAGTAGTTTTTATAATACGGATTTTTCAAAATTGCGCCTCTGCCCGGTTTTTCCTTATTTTACCGTTTCCACGCGGGTTAAACCGATTTATCGACAAAAATGGCCATTTTTGTTACTTTCACTGGTGATCAAAAATTTTCAATTAAGAATATAATAGGTATTTTGCGTAGCATTAATTAGTTCAATCAACCGCCTCTTACACGTTTACCGGACTTTTTCACAAGACTATACATAGAAAAGTAACGCATAGTTTCATACATACAGTAACTATTATCATTCGATTCTTTACCTAATATTGGTGATGTGGTTATCAAAAAAAGTTGATCAATATTTATTGGACTGAAAATTTAATTTATGAGCTATATGAGGAATATTTTGACTTCAATCGTAGCCTAGTTAAATCAAATGTTGGTAGCCATGTTGAGATATGGAAAAAAAAACTCAAACACTAATAGATAACTTTTAAGCTAAATTTATACCTAAATATGTTAAACGTATTACACGGTAAAAATAGATCGAAGTTTTAACTTCGAATAGAAACTAATAAAGAAGTCATCAACTAACGACTTGATAAAAACAAAACGATTTGCTTAATCCAACTACAATGCATTATTATCAATGACTACCTTGAGATATTTCAAAATTTTAATATATAATTTATCTATAGTAGATTAGGTACATAGATATATATTTTTTTTTTTTAATTTGGCCTTGCGTGAGTCGTTGATGACGCATTGTGCTCGAAGCAAGATGATTATATTTTTATTTAGGACTTAATACAAATTAAACTTTTTTTACAAAAGACCCACACAAGTGCGCTTATGTGTACCCGATGATACACGTATGTACAATATACACCCGACATTGCAAAAATTCCCGATGGAAAATCGATGCAGCCACATCAAGTAGTAGAAAATATTCCATCCACCGCACAATGCGCGTTACTTGTCATCCACTCGATAATGCGTTTCTTCCCCGAAGAGATGCGCAACCGTATCATGATAAATTAAAAAAAAAAAAAAAATACATCAACGTAGTGACGCGAAGAGAGGAAGCACCCTGATGTGCAAGGGGAAAAAAAGAAGCGTGGAAAAGCGGCGATGGAAGGGGAGGGGGTGGAAATCACTCAGCCGAGCCGAGGAAATGTTTCCTTCGCCGCGAAAATCGCAAAGTTTACTCTCGCCAACTCCGTCTGTCCATTCGTACTTTCTCAAAGAAAAATGAAGGCAGTGCGCATAGGTATATATACGAAAGGCAAGCAAACAAGAGCAGCCGCCACGTACAACATCCACGGGAAATCGAATCTTTTCCTCCTTGCGCGTATACGTATGTATATAGGTGTACCCTTGGCAACGTCGGATTCATCGACGCCTCGCACTATTTTTTTTCCCCCGGCCAACAACTGCCCTCTCCCCATCAACTCGCACCTCACACTGTTAGCATTCCCATGCATTTTCACGCTTACCCTTCGTTCGTTTTTTTTTTTTTTTTTTTCTTCTACTTCTTCTGCTAATGTATTTTAATTTCTTTACTTGACTCCATGGCATGTAATATTTCTTCTTGCATACGTTTATCTGACCCTAAGCACTTACTAAATTTATCATTTCAATAACATGCAATTCGNTATATATATACGAAGTGGAGCGAGGCTAGAAAAATATGTGTGGAGACTTGCCAATAGCGACAATGGAAAATTGGCAGCAATCGAAATGCACCTATACGCCGCAGTCTCGCTGTGTGTATGAGGACAAAAAAAAACATACATCGTCCAACCACCCAATCGACTAGCGATGTGGTGATTCAATTTTTGTTCTTGTACCATTGATTTCACAGATGGAATTTAAAAATTTTTTTAGTCCGGAAGAATCGCTGATTAGTCAAGGAAAATGATGATTTTAGCTGAAACAAGTCTGAGGCTATACGATATCAGAAAAAATCTCGATCATCAGTAACGTATGGTCAGGTGTTATACTTTACTTTTTAACATACAGCTTTTTACAAAATTTGACATTTATGCGTTCAAGATTTGTCCTCAGTTCTCTTTATTTCTCTGCACAGTTGTGTTCTCCGAATGTTTGTGAAGTATGGATGCATTGATTATAATATAAAAAATAAAAAAATAAAAAAGGTACTCCAACCGAGGATGTTTTTCAGTTATTCGTTTGTATTATTATTTGTACTGGCTTTTAAGCCCCTCGCTTAGCTCACTACTTTAGATAGGAAGACCGAGATACGAAGCATCCAAGACGACACTTCATTTCGAGTGTGGAGTGAGGATGAAAATGTCTCTCTACCAACCAATCTATAAAGTCATGTATGAAACGTTTAAAAGGAGTGGCTCATACAGGACACTTTAAAACTTCAGTAGTAAAGTGTGACAAATCCAATAGGACTTACTATCCCCGATGTCCACTTTTTCGATTATTAAAAATTTATAGCATTTAAAGAAATGACAACTACATGAAATTACCAAGTATTCTAATAGATGTTTCATTTCTATAGTCAAAGTCGAATGGATAAATATTTTTTTGTCAGCGATGAAAAATACATGAAATGAAGCGCAAAAGCTATATGCACAATTTTTTCAATGATACTACGTGATGAATGTAAAAAAATACAATTTTCAATGTCACATCACAAAATTACAAAAAAAAAAAAAAAACTTCACCAAGTTATGAATCACGCAATTGTAGAAAAATAAAGCTTTTGCATTTCATTGCACTATCTTTTCTTTTTGTTCTAAAAAATCTCCTCGTAAAATGTCTAAATATAGAAAACTTTCTCTTAAAAACCTCCTCAAAACGATCTCAGTTTCACGTATAAACACACAAAAACCATCCAATAAATTGTTTTAATATTGAAAAACGAACAGTGAAGAGTTAACAAAGAAAGAAGGTAACATTTACAAATATACGTTGGTAACAATCCAATACAATTAAAAACACTCGCACTTGAAAAAAAAAAAAAACCCGTCCCCCGATATCACGTTACACCCACAACAGTTCCAACGGAACCCCACCAAAATTCAATATGGTCTAGTAGTTCGATTCCCCCTGATCCCTCCCCACCCCCTTATACCTGTTCATTAGCGCACGCCATTGCCGGCCTACGTAATATCCCTCGGGCGATTGACAGCCTCTGCACTGCAACCAAGTCATCGTTGAAAGCTCGCCTCGGAACGGCTTCAAGACTCGCGTGATACGCACGTGCACAATGCGATGCATATTGCTCTCCCTCCTGTAATTACTATCACAGCGGAATCCGTACGGCCCGTGTGACGCATATTGCTCTCGAAAATTTAATTTCCAGCTCTATCGCATCCCATATATTCATCGAAAAATCACAACGCGACGAAACACGGGGGGAAAAAAACCCCCCCAATGGAAATAAAGGACCCAACGAAAAAAAAGTAGGCCAACGCCCCTACACGCACGCGTCAATGCCCTTTTCCAATGCACATGTATACATGTTTCCCGGCATCGAAAACCACATTTCATTCCTCGACGAGCATAGAGCCTCCCACTCAATTCGCTGACAAAAAAATGTTTTTTTTTTTTTTTTTGCTTCCGTAAACACACGCGTGTCGCTGATAAGGTGTACGTACGCGCAGCGTAAAAATACGTAGGTGACTATTATCACCCTTTCCTGTTTCTCTCCGTTGACAGAGAACCGTACACACACACACGGCTACAGCTCGCGAAACGACCGAACGGAGGCGTCGGAGCGCGCGAGAGAGGTGAGCTAAAAAAAACACAACCCCGCGCGCTGGGCTCGTTTCCGCAGGGGGGTGGGGGGCAGATAACGGGAGGAGAAGAGGCTCGGGACAGCGGGGATGACGAGTAATCGATCACGAGCACTCTGCCAACATCGCCGGCAGCAGCCCTCTGTAACTCTCATTTCCAATCAGCACGACTCCCCCTCCCCCCAACCCTTCATTTCTCTCGCCCGGGCGAAAAATCCTTGTTTACCTCCCGCAAACACTCGGAACTGCCCTGCAGTTCGGTGTTTTTTCTCCCCCGGCCGGTGCTTATGCTCCCTCCCTGCGAAAACTTCGATTCGGAGAGGGATGATTCCCAGTGGGGGAAGAGGCTCGCGAAAGTATTTTTACGTGCAGCTCGTAATCGCAGGGTAAATACAGTTGTCATGCGAGTTTAATTTCTAGAGCGCCGTGGCTCCCTGCTTTTTTTTTCGCCGCGATGGAAGAAATGACTTTTCAGAGAAAACAACTTCCTACAGCTTCGCAACGGTGGGAGAGTACAGGCAGTGGAGGAACACACGAGCAATAAGGGATACGTGCACGGAGAACGGAAAGCCAAAGCCGCACAACAGGAAGGACGGAAGCCGTGGTGGTCCGACTCCTCGCATGCCACGGAGCCACATCGGGTACATCCGAGCGGGGGGGTGGTCCGGTACAGCAGCACACGTGTGTGTGTCCCTCTATCGATTTCTGGCCCGATGGAGTGGTATCGCGACACGGAGATACACACACTCCCCCTCCCTCTCTTTCCAGTTCCTTTGTGCGCTTGTCCCCGTACGCCCGGCCCTCGCTCGACAGAGAAAATACGTACATATACATACGCGTTGATTTTTCCATGCCGCGCGGGGGAGACGCATCGCCACGATTCCTCATCGACTCGCCCTTTCCTATATCCACCCCCCGACCGAACTTTTTTCCGCAGCGTATACGAGGCGAATCGATGCAAATCCCCGCTCGCGCGGTTCTATTCATTCGAGGACGAATGGGGGTCGCGCGGAAAGGACGATGATGGATATGGAGAGATCCACGAGGAAATGGAAAGGAAGAGGCGAAGGGCCTTTCTTCGCGCGCGCGCGGCATACGGATTCGTATATATACGCGATTGTACACGGGGTGACGCCACAAAATCGCGAGGGTTTTTTTCCAATATAACATTTCAATTTGAGGGATGTTCAATCGTAAAATGACGCGGCACGGTGTAACGTCATCGGGTGCATGGGCTTTGACGTG